AGGCTCCATATCCAACATGGGGCTTAAACTCATGACTCTGAGATCAAGAGTCACATGCTCTACGGACTGAGCCATGCAGGCGCCCCTAAACTTTTTTTAAAGATTTTTACTTTTTAAAAAGATTTTATTTATTTATTTAGTTAGTTAGTTAGTTAGTTATAGCAGGGGGAGGCACAGAAGTAAAGGGAGAGAGAATTCCAAGCAGACTCTGTGCTGAGTGCACAGAATGTGATGTGGGACTTCTCTTGGGGCTCAATCCTATGATCCTGAAATCATGACCTGAACCAAAACCAAGAGTCGGACGCTTAACCGAATGAGCCACCCAGGCACCCTTAAAGATTTTTATTTTTAAGTAATCTCTACACCCAAGGTGGGGCTCAAACTCACAACACAAGAGTTGCACACTGAGCCAGCCAGGCACCCCAAAACCATAAACATCTAGAAACAATGCACTTAAAATGAAAAGTAGTGTTTTACTTCCACTTGAGTTTGAATATTTTCCACCAAAAAATAACCAAATAACCAAATAGAGGCGCCTGGGTGGCTCAGTTGTTAAGCGTCTGCCTTCGGCTCAGGTCATGATCCCGGGGTTCTGGGATCAAGCCCCGCGTCAGGTTCCCCGCTCGGCAGGAAGCCTGCTTCTCCCTCTCCCACTACCCCTGCTGGTTTTCCCTCTGCTCGCTGTGTCTCTCTCAAATAAATAAATAAAATCTTAAAAAAAAAAAAAAACAAATATATCAGTGAGAAGAGTGGCATTATTTTATATTTTGACAATCTCTTTAATCCTAAGTGTAACAGAATACAGCTGGTATTTTATATGTGCTCTTGCCTTTATTTATTTATTTATTTATTTATTTATTTATTTATTTAAGAGGGAGAGAATCACAAGCATGCTCCACACCCAGCATGGAGCCTGACATGGGATGGGGCTTGATCTCAGAACCCTGAGATCATGACCTGAGCTGAAATCAAGAGTTGGACACTCAACCTACTGAGCCACCCAGGTGTCCCAGTGTGCTCTTCCATTTAATCCACCAAGATAAAGAAAATCTGGACTCACACATCCAGAATTTAAAAATGAGGAAGTATTCTAATGGCCTTTTCAGATATTTGTCAATATTATTGACACTATACCAAAAATCAAGTGGTAATTTCTTAAATGTTACTGTAATGTGGAATCTGACCTTTATCTCTCTAAGATTGGTATTAATTTTAATTTTTTTTTCAGTTTTTTTTTTTTTTAAGTAAACTCTATCCCCAAGGTGGGGCTCGAACTCATGACTTAGAGATCAAGAGCTGCATGCTCCACCAACTGAGCAAGCCAGGCACCCCAGCTTCTCTTAAAATCCATTTGTCTATCTTATACTTTAATATCATCACAGATGATCTTGTAGCATCACACAGTAATCATTTAGAAAATACTGGTTCAATGAGTTAGGCAGACCCTCCAAATGTTGACATATTTCATTATATGGTATTACAAAATCACATTCATTAATATCATTAGTAATCTCATCACAAAAGACTAAGTATTAGGAAGCTGTCAAGTTCATGGTGACAGATACTATTTTTTTTTTAAGATTTTATTTTATTTGACAGAGAGAGCGAGAGCAAGCACAAGCAGGCAGAGCAGCAAGCAGACAGAGAGGGAGAAGCAGACTCCCCGCTGAGCAGGGAGCATGATGCGGGGCTTGATCCCAGAACCCTGGGATCATCACCCGAGCCGAAGGCAGCTGCTTAACAGCGGCTAATTTTTTTGTTTGAAAGTCAAATTAACAAAAATTAGTACCAGTTTTCTTTATTGTCAGGTTTTATAAATCATTTCATTTTTGACAAAATGTTTAGCAGATATACAGGTCTTCATCTTCTTATTCAAAATTTGTCAGTTGCTCTTTCAAATAAAATTGGTGCCCATAAAAAGGTGGCTAGTTCAGCTCACAACTCAATCTATAAAAGTGCGTTTCCTGGAAACAACTTGATACTTCAGCATGAAGAAAAACTTTATGTGCCTTTCTCTCTTCATTACATAAAATACTTAGAAGATGAATATATATAGAAATTTTAATATCCTGGTTGTAACATTATAGTTTTGCAAGACATTACCATTGGGGTAAACTGGGCAAAGAGCTCATGGGATCTCTCTACATAATTTCTTACAAATGCATGTAAATCTAAAATTATCTCAAAATAAAAAGTATAATTTAAAAATTTTGTACCCAGGGTCAAGTTCAACAAAACTAATTTTAACTGTTTTATGAAGAACATTCTTAAGTGGAACTAGCATGTTTTTACCACAAGTGTGTGGTGGTAAAGAACACAAGAACTATAGTACAGTTTGGTAACACCGTCCTGATTCAAGCTAAAGGCCCAGCAGTTTCCCCACCATTGCTTTTTGCACAATCAGTGCAAATTTCAGCACAAGAGAAAAAAGCAAATCAGGTCTTAGTGTTATAATGAAATTTGTTTTGACCATGTAGATCACCCAAAAGGGCCCCCAAACATCCTCTGACCACATTTAGAGAACCACTGATCCATAAGTTAAAACAGAATAGTTATATTAAAACTTACTGTTACCCTTTTACTTTTTTTTAAGTAATCTCTACATCCAACATGGGGCTCAAACTCACGATCCCAAGATCAAGAGTCCCATGCTCTACCTGACTGAGCCAGCCAGGTGATCCTGCCACCCCCTTTTGAAACAGATTTCAATGGTGACCATAACAGGCTTATGGATTTGAAGTGATATTATTTCATACTGTTCATCATCTTTTCTCCAAATTTTTCTTCATGCAGTATAGTCTATTACTTAACCATAGGAGTGGTAGGATGGGCAGTGGTTGAGCTCGGGCACTTTTTCTGTTTGTTTTAAACATCTAGAGCTGTTATCTATCTCAGGATATGAAATATGGGGCACTGGTAGATAACTAGTCCAGACAGACTGGAAAAAGAAAAATAAAACCACAAGATTTTGAAGATTCACATATATGAACACCATCCACTGCTTGCCTCCTAATCAGCTTCCAGACTTGCACACAGGTTTTAATGCTAGGCCCAAGTGGAGAACTCAGGTGGCCTGTTCCAATTCTGTCTTCTGAGAAGTTCTAAGCAGAGGATCTAATGCAGATTTAAGAATCAGTACAGGTGGGGACTGGGTAGGTCCGAAGTATAGGGCATCTTTCTACCATTTCCAGTCTCTGGTTGCTGTTCTATATAAATGCCTCCCCAGGTTTGAGTCTCTTTGAATCTGTTTGAATTTTCAGATACCAGCAGTGCTTATTGTTGTTGAGAATTTTAAATAATTTAAGGCAAGATCTTTTGGATTTATGGACCGATTACATTGAAAACTGAAATATTTCGGGTGCCTGGGAGACTCAGTCATTAAGCGTCTGCCTTCGGCTCGGGTCATGATCCCAGGGTTCTGGGATCGAGTCCCACATCGGGCTCCCTGCTCAGCAGGAAGCCTGCTTCTCCCTCTCCCACTCCCCCTGCTTGTGTTCCCTCTCTCGCTGTGTCTCTCTCTATCAAATAAATAAATAAGATCTTTTAAAAAAAAACCTGAAATATTTCTTCTTAAAGTTAAAAAAAAACAGTAAAAGATACATGTTTACTTTTGGAATCCTTATTTTTGTGATATCATTTTATGGAAAAGAGTAATTCAATTCTAAGATGCAAAGAGATTAAAACTCTCAAAGTATTTTTCTACTGAGAAGGAGAAACAGCAGTAGGCCAGGATTTACCATGGGAAGGAATGAGAAGGGCAAGCCACACCAGCAGCTCCATCTAGGATAATATTTCATAATTCTTCACCAGGTTCTTCTCACTCCACTGAAACTTAGATTTTGAACGAAAATTAAGACTCCTACACCTTGGGATGCCTGGCTGGCTCAGTCACTAGCCCATGTGACTCATAATCTCAGGGTTGTGAGCTCACGCCCCATGTTGGGCATGGAGCCTACTTAAAATAAAAAATTCAATTCAATTAAAAGGACCTCTGCACGTCATAATTATCTGAGCTAGTGATTTCCTAACTCTAACTTTGGATATTGAGATTTTGGAACCTATGTTTATTTTTTCCCTCAGTTGAGAGCCAATGACCCAAACACTGAATCTTGTACTTGCTATTTTCATAATAACTTAAAATCCTGCTTCCTCACTTTCTAAATACTAATATACAAGTGAGTTTGTTTTCCTATTTTTATATGGTTCTATTCTAGGTATCTGTCCACAGATAAAAAGACATGTTATTATACTGTTCTTAATATCCCGCCATTCCTCAAAATTTTACTTTCCAAATAAAACTCAGAATCATTTAGTCAACTTCTGTGAAAAAAAATTGGGCCTTGGCTCAGAACTATACGTGAATCTGTGGGACACTGCTGTTCTCAAAAAGAGAGTATTCCCAACCAGAGAAATCATATATTTTACAATGGTTGGAAAGATTTAAACCAAAGAATTACCTGTGGGATGTAGTATGGTAATTCAAAGAAGAATAGAAAGTAATTTCATTTTCTATTTCCATATATGGGTGTTTTCTTCATGAAAGCATAGGATACATTTCTAATCTAAATACACCAGTAAATAAAAATATCTTCAGTACGGATTCAACTTGGAAACCAGAGAGGGCCCCAGGAAATAAGCAAAAATGGTTACTTCTTCCCAAAACCAGGATAGTCACAGTCTTTCTCACCAGTCAGCTCTTTGCATGATAAAACCTTCTTCTACCCAGGCACCGTCTCTGATCCCATGAATTCACCATTTCCCAAACTCTCCCTGAAGCTGACTCTGCTGGGTCATGCTCTGGGAAACCAAGATTAAGTCAGCCATGGTTTCTGTCAAGTCTCTTGTTCTCAGAAGGTAAGGCAGACATTAAGAGATGAGCTCTAGTGTCGATGTTTCTCTAACATCCAGGCTACTGTATAAGGAGTGTCCAAGTATTCTTGGGAAATGACATTAGAAGAGCCTCCATTCCCTAATTTCAACTACTTAAAAGTACCCCTTCCATCACGTTACCTGACAGATCTTCCACAACCCACCCCCCCCACCAGGGAATGCCAGAGCTCCTGAAAATGAGCCAGCAGTTCTCCTTCATGTGGCCTGGAGATGTTGACTCTTACCATGAGGCTCGTGAACACTCCTGTCACACATAAGATGTCTCCACTTTGGTGTCTGGCAATGGTTGACTTACTGCTAAAGCCACAGCCCTAGGTGTGACTTCTGGCATTTCATGAGGTATGAGTCTTGGTTAAAGATTTCACTACACTCGTACATACAAGGTTTCTATCCTGAGTGTGTCCTCTGATGTCTGATGAGGTTTGATTTCCGACTAAAGCCTCGCCCACACTTCCTACAAATATAAGGCTTCTCTCCTGAATGTATCCTCTGATGTCTAATAAGGTGTGACTGCCGGCTAAAGCCTTGCCCACACTCCCTGCACACGTGAGGCTTCCCCCCTGAGTGTGCCTTCTGGTGTGTGATGAGAGTTAACTTATCACAAAAGCCTTGCCCACACTCCCTGCACACAAAGGGTATGCTACCTGAGTGTGCCCTCCTGTGCCTAAAGAGGTTTGGCTTCTGGCTAAACTTTTTACCACACTCCCTGCATATGAAAGGCTTTTCCCCTGAATGTGTTCTCTGGTGTGAAATGAGGGTTGACTTATCATTAAAGCCTCGCCCACACTCCCTGCATACAAATGGCTTTTCCCCTGAGTGTGTCCTCTGGTGTGTGATAAGGGTTGATTTCCTGGTAAAGCCCCGCCCACATTCCCTGCACACAAATGGCTTCTCCCCTGTGTGTGACCTCTGGTGTTTGCTGAGGTTTGACTTCAGGCTAAAGCACTGCCCACACTCCAGGCACACATAAGGTTTAACCCCTGAGTGTGTCCTCTGGTGTGTCTTGAGGTTTGATTTCCAGCTAAAATGGCGCCCACATTCTGTGCATACATAAGGCTTCTCTCCTGTGTGTGTCCTTAAGTGCCTAATGAGGTGTGACTTCTGGCTAAAGCTTTGCTCACACTCCCTGCACACATACGGCTTCTCTCCCGAATGTGTCCTCTTATGTCTGATGAGATGTGAATGCTGGCGAAAGCCATGCCCACACTCCCTGCAAACATAAGGCTTCTCCCCCGAGTGTGCCCTCTGGTGTGTGATAAGGTTTGACTTCAGGCTAAAGCTCTGCCCACATTCCTTGCACACATACGGCTTGACCCCTGAATGTGTCCTCTGGTGTGTGAAGAGGTTTGACTTCCAAGTAAAGCCTCGTCCACACTCCTTGCACACATAAGGTTTCTCCCCTGAGTGTGTCCTCTGGTGTGTGATGAGGTTTGACTTCCAGGTAAAGCCTCGTCCACACTCCTTGCACACATAAGGCTTGTCCCCAGAGGGTGTCCTCTGGTTTTTGATGAGGGTTGACATATTGCTAAAGCTCTGTCCCCACTCGGAGTACACGTAAGGTGTCTCCCCTGTGTGCATCTTCTGGAGGCTGAGCAGGTTTGACTCCCTCATAAAGCCCAGGCCAAACTCCCCATATTTGATTGCTCCAAATCCTGAGACTTCTACACCATGCAACACTTTGTCTGTTCCCCCAAGGACTGTCCTCTGGTCTTGGCTGGGCCCTGTATCCATCGCTGTGTCGTCTTGCTTGGACCTTACTGGCTGTTCTTGCCGTGGGCTGGACAACGCCTCTGAAGTGCCTCTTTTGCTTACTCTCTCCAACAAGGGCTTCGAGTCTTCTTCTGTCTCTTGAATTTCTGCTTTGTCACTCCAGCAAGTTTGACCAAAGAGTTGCTTCTGCTGCTGGTTTTGATCTTCTGGATAGTGCTTCCCCGGGGGGAGATGGTTTCCTGCACATAAACTTGAGAAGAGCTGAGGAAGGTGACTGAACCACACATGCTGGCTGAGGCCTTGCTGACTAGCGAATGCCAGTGGGTAGTGGGGACAAGGTTGAATGTTTAGCTTTGATCCTGCTGAAGAAAGAATATTTTGAGTCAGAGTAGCCACGGGTAGGGTGGCTGGGGCCATTTTGCTTTGCCCATTGGTCGTTTGTAATATGTTTATATCACAACCTGTCTCCCACTCAGACATCCTTGCATCTATAAGAAGAGCTATTTTCCATTTTACTTTATACACTACATTTTTAATCACAGGAGTTAGCAAACTTGTCAGGTAGGCCAAATTCAGCCTGCAACTTGTTTTTGTATGGCCCACCAGCTAAAAATGGATTTTACCTTTCTAAGGATTCAAAGAAAGAAGGAGAAATAAATAAATAAGCAAATAAACAAATAAACCAATGAGGCAATAGACTGCATGTGACCTGGGAAGCTTAAAATATTTACTGGGTGGTCCCTTACAGAAAAAGTTTTTGGCCCCTTGTCCTACTACAATGTAGAAAACTCTGGGGCGCCTGGGTGGCTCAGTCGTTAAGCACCTGCCTTCGGCTCAGGTCATGATCCCAGGGCCCTGGGATCGAGCCCTGCATCAGCAGGGAGCCTGCTTCTCCCTCTCCCATTCCCCCTGCTTGTGTTCCCTCTCTCGCTGTGTCTCTCTCTGTCAAATAAATAGATGAAATCTTAAAAAAAAAAAAATGTAGAAAACTCATACCAAAAACTTACTTTCACAATACTTGACAGAGTAAATAGTTTACTTCCAGAAATCAACCAACACATACAATATATTGAGAGGTATTTATTCATGAAAAACACTGAACTCCGGATAAGAAAAGCGGGAATCTGAAGCATCACTGCCTGGAGTTGCTCTCAGCTTGGGTGTTATGGTAGTTATACTAGGACAGGTCATAAAACCATCAGTTCTGTTGCTGCTACAGGGACAGTCACCTGATTTGAGTGGAAGGTGAGAAACCAGTGCTGGGTGGAACTGTCAATAAATGTGATCTAGGTGGTAAGTGAACAGGGAAGGCCACCAGTGACTGCTGAGATTGCAGTCTTTCTTGGTTGGGACCAAAAGAAGAAGAAGAAAAAGAAGAAGAAGAAGAAAGACTGGGAGACCATCCAGAAATGTAGCAGGGGAACACCTGAAAGTGAGAGGGCCAGGGAGGGGTTTGATAAACTCTCCACACAGCCCTGGCTGACTGGAAAACTGTTTGCAAAAGCAGGGGAGATGGCTGGGGCCCAAGCTATGCACATAACCCTGCCTGACAGAGACTATAACCAGGTACAGAGGAAAAATTAGAGGGATCAGTGGAAAGTAAAAAGCCAGACAAGACTTGGAAACTATCTGAACCTTGAATGAGCTCCCCAACCCACCTATTTATCCATTGGCAGAAGTAGGGAGCCTTGCTGGCTCAAAGTCTTTGAACACAACCTATTGCCAACTGTTGCAGATCACGAAGCCCTGCAGACACAAGGCTGAAATCAGGAAGCCAGGATTAAAAATAAACACAAGAATACAATAACAAATCAAGCGGAAACATCACCTTCAGAGAGAAAACTTTTTCCACATATTTAGTCTAGAAAAGTTACTAAAACTGGCAACAACAATATCTAGGCAGGAAACACCATCAGCTCTCAGAGGGGCTAAAACATAGTATCTAAAATATCCAGTTTCCAAAGAAACAGCAAAGAGTGACCCATATTGAGGGAAAAATGCAGACAATAGAAACTGTTGCTGGGTGGCCCAGATGTTGATTTACAGGAGGAAAGAAAGAATTCAAAGCTGATGTTATGAATATATTTAAAGAACTAAAGGAAAACAACATGTAAAAACTTAAAGGGAAGTATGGTAACTTAAGAAATAGAAAAATCTCAATAAAGAATAAAAACTATTAAAAAGAAATAAAAGGAAACTCTGGAATTAAAAAGTAAATTAACTGAAATAACAAAATTACTAGGAAGATACAACAGCATATTTGGGCTTGCAACAGAAACAATGAAGTTGAAGATAAATCAATAGAAATTACCTAAACTGAAAAACCAGGTGAAAGAAAGATCGAAGAAAAGCAAAGAGCCCCAGAAACCTGTGGGACACCATCAGATAAATCAATCTATGCATAATGGGAATGCACGAAAGAGAAGACAGAGAGAAAAGAGCAGGAAAAAAATGTCTGAAGAAATAATAACTAAAAAGTCTGAAATTTGTTGAAAAACATTAGTCTATAAATCCAAGAAGCTCAACAAACTGGAAGAAAACATAAAACAAAGAGGGTGCCTGGGTGGCTCAGCTGGTTAAGCATCTGCCTCCGGCTCAGGTCATGAACCCAGGGTCCTGGGATTGAGCCCCACATCGGGCTCCCTGAACAGTGGGGAGTCTGCTTCTCCCTCTCCCTCTGCCTCCCTCACCACTTGTGCTTGCACGCAGTGCACTCTTTCTCTCAAATAAATGAAATATTTTTAAAAAAATTTTTAAATCTTTAAAAAAAATACTCCAGGGGTGCCTGGGTGGCTCAGTTGGTTGAGCGTCTGCCTTCAGCTCAGGTCATGATCCAGGCGTCCTGGAATGGAGCCCCACATCAGGCTCCCTGCCTAGTGGGGAGTCTGCTTCTCCCTATCTTTCTGCCCCTCCCCCCTCTTGTGCGCTCTCTCTCTCTCTCTCTCTCTCTCAAATAAAATCTTTAAAAAAAAAAGAAAGAAAGAAAAACATAAAGAGAGGCCCAGAGAGATACATCATAGCCAAATTGTTGACTATCAGAAAAAAAGACAAAAGAGAACATCTTGAAAGCAGCAAAAGGAAAATGATTCAACATGCACAGGAGGAAACAATATGATTAGTGCTAACTTCTCATCAGAGACAATGGAGTATGGAATGATTTATTCAAGGTGCTGAAATAAAGGTGAAAAGGCTACTAAGGAAGAATTCTATTCTCAAGAAATTATCCTTCAGAAATGAAATTGATACAGATATTCACAGATTAACAAGTACTCAGAAAGTATCTGTTGTTAGCAAACAGGCCTTATAGGAAATACTAAATAAGC